CAACCAGCAGTAATTGGATGCCCAGCCCAGATGCAGGAGACTCGTAGAGAGAGCGTCTTCAATTTGCAGGCATGACTCTCTATAGAAGCAGGGTCTAAATCACCGGTGGCCATGTGTCATTTGAAGTCACTTGGCATTTGCCATCTTGGGAGAGATGTGTGTTGGATTCCCCAGTGAAGCTTCCAGCCTTGCGGTAATGAGACGATAGAAGGACCCGATCTTACTCACAAGGCAGAGCTGATGGAATTTCAATCCAGGCATTTGTCCTTCAAGCGGGGGCTTGGTTTATATTCACTTCCTTCTCCATCCAGGTGTGGGGAGAAAAATTAATTCATGATGAGAAGCCAGCCACAATGAATAGCATTTTATCTCTGCCCTAAGAAAATACAGGCAGACACGTGCGTGCGTGCGTGTGTGTGTGTGTGTGTGTGTGTGTGTGTGTGTGTGTGTGTGTGTCATTAATAGCTTCTGTTCTGAAAATTCAGAAGAATATGAGCCTTGCTTGTTTTTAAGCTTGGGTAGAAGAATAAAAAATGAGTTACCTGGGATTCTGGTGGGTGGTATAAGCGTGAGAAGGGGGCTTATTGGGTGACTCGGATGGAGCTCCAAGTGTAGAACTCCAAGGCGTAGGGCCGCATGCCGTCCACGTCAGTTTCCCCACAAGCTGAGGCTGAAGCAATGATTCCTGGCTCACATGGACAGTGAAGGCCCCTCAGCAGGCAAAGCAGACAGTGTGCAAGGCAGGGAGGCTATGTTACCCACTCGGCCACTGATGAAGATTAAGTTCACCCACTGTGGCCGCTGGAGAGACCATGCAGAAAAGGCCAGGGATGTACCCCGTTTGAAGGACCAGGGAGCTGGGCTCAGGATGACAACACCTATCCATTGTTCATCCACGACTGTCCCCTGGTGGGTGTTACTTCCTTGGCATTTCTGGCTTCACCCAAGAACTCAGGTTCCCAAGCCAGAGGACACCTTTGAGCAGAGATGAATAAGATAAATGCGAAGCTGCTGGTCGGAAGCTGAGCTCATCGCCGCTGAGTGGCAGGATAATTGTCCTACACCGTTGTGAGATTTCAAGTTAGCACAGACTCAAACTTTAACTCTAAAGCAGAACTATTCCTCTTGGCCCTTTTTTTTCTCATCTTTGGACAAAATCTGAAGTGTGCCCAGCCTTCACACTCTGAGCTTAGTTTCTTTCTGAAAGCCTACACCCCACAGATAGCTGCTTGCAGACTTCCATGGTTGACGCTAACTCAAAAGATAAGCGGTTTTTTTTTTTCTCTCTCTCTCCCTTGTTTTATCTCCCTCTCTCTGGCAGCTGCCAAGTTTTACAACTTGCTTGCCCTGTATTCTTCTGTCAGACTCTAATAAAATGGTCCTCGTGCTTTAAAATGGGTTGGGGGTGGGTAGCGGAGACAAGTGCAGTCTCTTGCTCTACAGAACTCAGCTCTGGGCTTTCTGCTCCAAACAGCAGAGACTCAGCCTCAATTGACCTCAACAGAATGGAGGTGTAGCCTGTGGGCAGGCACTCATGCCTTCAGGTCCAGCCAGATCCAGGAGCCCAAACAGCATCACCCGAAGTCATCTCTTCACAGCTGCCATTTGCCTTCATGTTGGATTGCAGTCACTATGGCCTAGAATGTTCTAGAACGCTGCCTTGCTCACTCCGATTTCCTCCTGAAACTTGTGGCTGGACCATTGGCTATTCTTGCTCCCCTTTCTTCATCCCCATCTGCCTGTCTTGTCTTGTCTGTCTTCCTGATCCTGAGTAAACACACTGGCTGTGTCGGCTGGTGAGCCGGCTCTCTCCTCAGTCATGTCTTGTCTGCTGTATAAAGCATCCCAAGTGATGTACTCACTTGCCATACCCCCTCATTCTTTTCTTTGAGTTGGGGGGGGGGGGTCTCATGTAGCCCAGGCTGGCCTCCAACTCTTGATCCTCCTGCCTTCACCTCCCAAGTCCCAAGACTGCAGGCTTATGCCAACACACGCTGCTCAGTCTTCTATTTCTAGAAATTCTCTGTAGGCCTCCACACATCTCTGCCTTTCCCCCTGCTCACCTCTGCTCTCATAGTGTAGTTTCGGCTTTATTTCTCCTTTGCCCTTTGATTTCACTAGCGATTGGTTTTTCCTTGGTTTATTTTTTTTTATTTATTTATTTTTTTTTTTTTTTGGTTTTTCGAGACAGGGTTTCTCTGTGTAGCTTTGCGCCTGTCCTGGAACTCACTTGGTAGCCCAGGCTGGCCTCGAACTCACAGAGATCCGCCTGGCTCTGCCTCCCGAGTGCTGGGATTAAAGGCGTGCGCCACCACCGCCCGGCCTGGTTTATTTTTTTAATCCAGTCTTTTTCTGGTTGTTCCCGCATCTCTAATATTAGCCTGATCATCTAGGTTTTTAAATTAGTAGTAGTAGTAGTCAGTAGTAGTAGTAGTAGTAGTAGTAGTAGTAGTAGTAGTAGTAGTAGTAGTAGTGTGCGCCATAGTGAACATGTGGAGGATAAATTTAAGGAGTCTGTCCTCTCTCATTTCACCTTGACATGGCCTTTTGAGATTGAATTTGTCTCATCCGGCTTGCACAGCCAGTGCTTTGATCCAATAAGCCATCTCACACACCTCCTGTGTGCATTTTTAACAGCGCCTTTTACGACACCCGCTGCCTACCCACAGGTGGGGTTTCGCTTTTATCGGGGGAGCCTTGCGCAGCTGTTGCCTTACCTTGCTCTGTTCCCGAGGAGCTCCGTGGGGTTTGTTGACTTGGGTCCAGCTTCTAGTCTGTTTCTCGGCTTGCCTTCCCTGGGGCACACTCCCTGGGCCACACGGGTAGTGTCACACCAGCCCAGGACCGAATATGGGTTTCTTCTTTCCACCAGTGGCAGAGAGGAAATAGATTTTTTTTCAACCCATCATACGTAAAGAGGCTCCCACTGCCGCCTCCTTCTGCAGCAATAGGGTCTAAGATGAGTGTGGCCAGGTGAGCAACCAGAGATGCTCCCACAATCCGGATTGGTCTGGTGATAAGGGAAGCAGTGAGCCTTTAGGGAAAGGCTGAGCATAGCTGTTCTAGGTACGGCTGACCACGAGGCTTTGGCCATGGCTGATCCCTGGGTCTCCAGCACAGCAGGGCTCTGCAGACTTCTTGCTAACCTGACAGCTGAGGGGCACACTGCTAAAACTTGCTGTAGTGGCATCTGTATTGCAAGAGAGGCATCCTCTGGGCGGCAGCTGATCCCTAATAGGCGGACAGTGATTCCTGTTAGTATCTCAAGAGTTCCAGGTTCGTCCTGGGAACCCAGAAGGTAATGCTGTGTCCACGGTGCTGAAGGTGAGGAAAATGTCCTAGAGCATCCCATCTAGGTGGATCTGTGCCCACCACTGCACTGTATTGTCCCTGGGATGTCCAGTAGGCAATGTCTGTGCTTACTGAGAACATATCAGGCATATGAGGATGAAGCCAGGGCATTTCCCGGTCAGGAACTATAAAACTCCCTTCCCTGTTCTCCACAGTGGAAGAGTTTTTATGTCTGTTTGGGCCTTGACTGAACAATTACAGGTCTTTTTAGTGGCTCAGTCCATGACACTGGCCTGAGCTTTCTTGGTCTGTCTAAATGCAGCTGAGCTGAACTCACCAGGTGTCATGATCATGTCACTGCTGCCTACCTGACAGTCCTTCAAAGAGTGTGCCATGTCTCATCAGGTCATACAAAGAGAAGATAATCTTGCTTTTCTGTTTTTCCTACAAAGCACAAGGTACCTTTAAGACCCTGGAAAAGAACTGGTAGAGAGGAGAGATGAATTAGCCAGGGTTCTCTAGAGGAACAGAACCAAAAGAATGAAGATCTGTATTAAAAGGAGATTTATAGCCAGGTGGTGGTGGCACACACCTTTAATCCCAGCACTCAGAAGGCAGAGGTAAGCAGATCTCTGTGAGTTTGAGGCCAGCCTGGTCTACAAAGCGAGATCCTGGACAGGCTCCAAAGCTACACAGAGAAACTCTGTCTTGAAAACAAAAACAAAAAAAGGAGGGGGGATTTACTAGAGTGACTTACTGGCTGTGGTCCAGGTAGTCCAATAATGGTCGTCTCATGATGGAAAAGTGGAGAACCTGGTAGTTGTTCAATGTGTGAGCTTGGATGTCTCTATAGTCCCAATCCAGCTCAGGAGTTCTGGATGATTCCTGGAGAGCTGCCTGTTTTCAGTCCATGTGGGAAACCTGAAGGTGGATTTAATATCAGCTGCAGAAACAGGATAGATGAACTTGCTAGCAAGAGTGAGGGCAAGCAGGCAAATAGCAAAGCTTCCTTCCTCCATGTTCTTTTATGTGGGCTGCCACTAGAGGTGTGGCCCAGGGTTAGGGTAGGTCTTCCTGCTTCAAATAAGCTGATGAAAAAAAAATCCCTCCCAAGAGTGCCCAGCAGGCTCTGTTGTTTCTGGGTGTCGTCAAGTTGACAAACAAGATTAGCCATCACAGGAGATAAGAGAAACTTTCTCTTTTGAGAGACGGTGTCTCATATATCCCAGGATGACCTTGAGCTCCTGGTATTCCCACTTACAACACCCTCTCAAGCACCGAAACACCTAATCTAGGAAGGACTAGGAGTCAAACCCAGGACTTCATGGACTCTAGGCAAACATGTTACCAGTTTAACCACATTCCAAGCCCGTAGTTTCCAGTTTCAGGCCTTTGGCTCTGATAGAATTGCCTGCCTCAGTTTCCCACCTCTACAAGTCCCCATTGTCCTATGAGGCTAATGGAGCTCAGGAATAAGCAACTGGCAGATAACAAAAAGCTGGTCCAGGACCGTGTGTGTTTTCTGCACATGGCCTATGCTGGAGCTGTGTTAGGGTATCTCTCTGATGGAAAGCATATTTGCTCCCCCAGGACATGGGCACCAGATCAGGACTCCATGTCGCCTTTCCTGTTTCTTTGGTGGTGTTCTAGAATGGGTCCCTGGAGATAAGGCACCCCCCAAGTGGTATTCATGGTCTCTGTCCCTGCAGGAAGCTATAGTCAGCACATGGCTCCAATTCAGTGACGGCTCAGTGACATCCCTGGACATCTATGACAACAAGGACTTCTCCTTGACTGCCACCTCTTTGGATGAGGCTGTCGTGTCCATCCCACAGCCCCTCTCACCTTGGTGGCCCACTGTGGTGGCTGAAGGAGAAGGCCAGGGCCCACTGCTCCGAGTGGACATGTCCATCGCTGAGGCCTGTCAGAAATCCAAACGCAAGAGCGTGCTGGCTGTGGGCATCGGCCACGTGGGTGTCAAGTTTGGATGGGACGATGCTGACTCCAGCCAGACCGGAGATAAGGATGAGGAGGGGATAAAGAACCACGCCAGTGATCGCCGGCAGAAGATTCAGGACCTGGAACGCCCAGGCCAGGATGAACGCTACCATGGCAATTCTCCTGGGGATCGCGAGGAAGGGGCCCTGATGAGTGCCACCACCACTGCCAAGTCCCTGCTGGATAACAAAGTAGGGAAGAGTGGTAGACTGGATGGGGCCAGGCTACACAGCATCCCCATAGATTTCACCAACTTCCCAGCCCATGTGGACCTCCCCAAGGCCGGGAGCACACTGGAGGAGAATGGTCTGATGCAGACCACCCATGGCCTGAGTGACCTGGAGATTGGGATGTATGCCCTCCTGGGGGTCTTCTGCCTGGCCATCCTTGTCTTTCTCATTAACTGTGCCACCTTTGCCTTCAAGTATAGGCACAAGCAGGTGCCTCTAGAAGGCCAGGCATCCATGACCCACTCTCATGACTGGGTGTGGCTGGGCAATGAGGCGGAGCTCCTGGAGAACATTGGGGACGTGTCCCCACCCCAGGATGAACACACGACCATCATAGACCGAGGGCTGGGAGGCTGCGAAGAGAACAACCACCTGCTTCTCAATGGTGGCTCCCAGAAGCACATGCAGAGCCAGGTCCACAGGCCACCGGGCTCTGGGGGGCGGCAGGGCAGGGAGCTCAGGCAGGAACCTGCAAACTCACCCACCTCCAAGATGAAGAAGGTGAAGTTTGCCACCTTCGCCATCCCGCCCGAGGACAGCTGCCCCACAGTGAACTCCATCCTCGGTGCCGAAGAGGATATCAAGTGGGTTTGCCAGGACCTAGAGGTGGGCGCGTCCAAGGAACTCCGAACCTACCTGGAGAAGTTCCAAGACAACGTGTAGTGCTCTGGCCACCTCTTCCACTTGGACAGTGTCCTCCTTTCTTCCTTCCCTCAGCAGGGTAGCTGGATGGAGGGAGCTCCCGGTGGGACTGAGTGAGGATGACCAGAGCCTACAAAAGACCAGCTAGCAGTTTAGAAGTGGGGAAGGGGTGTTTTTATATTAAAGGGGTTTTTTTTTAGCCATTGAGGATGGGTTCCAGAAGTTTGAATCTGACTCCGCAGGGAGGCAGAGTGGATCCAAGACTTCTCTGCTCAGAGGTGAGAGGGTTATTTTATGAATCAAAATACACTGCAGACAAGCTACCAAAAATATTTGTTAAAAAAAAAATACAAAAAAGAGAAATAAAAAAGACACAAATGACTGTTGGTTTATATTTCTAATAAAGGAACAAAATGTAAAAAAAAAAAAAATAGGGCTTGCTAAGAAGCAGCCTCCGTTTTAATTCAATCTTCATGTTTCTGAGGACAGCCTGTGTCTATCAGCCTGGTGCCCAAGACAGGAAGTGCATCTGAATACCGGTCACCTCTTAGGAAGAATGAAAATTTCACATTTGATTCCATATCTCTTCTTGCTTTCATACCTCCTTTTTTTGTGTCCTAAGGCTTCCATTTGATTTAATTTCATGTTTATTTCTGAGGACCAAGTGGTATATTTTCCTAAATGAAATATAAATTATATTTCTATTCATTAGATAGGGTTTTTTTTTTTTTCTCTTAGTTCAATCTTTTTTTCCCCCCTCGGAGCTGAGGACCAAACCCAGGGCCTTGCGCTTGCTAGGCAAGTGCTCTACCACTGAGATAAATCCCCAACCCCGAGTTCAATCTTTTTTTGTTTTTTGTTTTTTGTTTTTCGAGACAGGGTTTCTCTGTGTAGCTTTGCGCCTTTCCTGGAACTCGCTTTGGAGACCAGGCTGGCCTCGAACTCACAGAGATCCGCCTGGCTCTGCCTCCCGAGTGCTGGGATTAAAGGCGTGCGCCACCACCGCCCGGCTTCCGAGTTCAATCTTTATATTGTAACATGAACCTGTTTTTCTCTCTCTCCTGCTTTGTTGACACTTTCTGGCTTCTGTGTGTGTTTGTTCGTTTGTTTGTGTGTTTTTAAACAATATAGGAAGTGCTCAGTTCCATCTATGGGGAGAGCGACTCCCACAGCCATCACCAGTTGGGGCAGGCCAGTGGGTGAAACTGTGCTCACAGCGTCTGAAATAGGATGTGGCCAGAACAGAGCACAGCCTGTGACACTCGGCCACTCCTTATGAAGTCAGAGACTCAGTGTCCCCATCAGTATGGACATAGGGATGCCTCTATGTAGGGAGATGTGAGCCCCATCCATAAGTGCAGGGTCAGGCAGACAGGCCACGTCGACCACAAGGAACAGCCAACACTGTACTGAACAAACAGAAAAGATATTTGGGGGTAGAGTTGAGTTGTCTGATTTTATTGGGCAGAGTGAACCGGCATCAGCTCAAAATGATTAAAAAAAAAAATCTATGTTAGATTGTCGATCAAACTGTGGCTTTGAACAACTGTGCCACAGAACAGCATAGTATCACATCCACTCAAAGCAGAGTGTGCGCATGAGACAGGAGATGAACTCCTAGGATGTCCAGAGCCTGGCGCTCCCTGTCCATCGGCTGAGGGTGAGGACATCCGGTACTGTGACCCTCAGCAGAGCAGCCCTCATAGACGTACCAGGGGATGGCCATTGTTTTAATTTTTTTTCTATTACTAATATCAGTAGCTAAGAAAAGGTCCTGGAAGCCTAGTGACTTTGGTTGGACCTTTGACACACGTTTGTAGCCTTTACAATAGATTTTCAAAAGCTATTTATTTATACCTGCGGTGGTAGTTGTCATTAAAACGCTTGCCATGGCTTCACAAGTCAGTGTCTCATGGGATTTTCTTGTTCCATCGACTTCCTGTCCTCCAGTCCCAACAGGTACAGGCCTGCTGAAGAATTCATCTGTTAAAGAAGAAACAACACACTCCCCCCCCCCCCCCGGCCCCCTCTGCTTCCTTTCTGGCCAGATCTGGAGTCATTCGGATGATGTACAAATTCTGTCACCTACCCACTGTCACCTGCCTGTTCTCAGGGTCACAGCAGGGCAGCTTGAGGCAGCTGGTCACACCCAGTCGGGAAGCAGACATGAACGCGGGTCTCGGCTCACTTTCTCCTCTGTATTCAATCTGGGACCCCAGTCCGTGGGTTGGTGCTGCCCACTTTCAAGGTGGGTCCTCCCTCCTCGGCTACTCCAGCCTAGATACTCTCTCACAGACGTGCCCGGAGATTTGTCTCCAAGGGGACTCTAGAACCTGGTGAGGTCATCAATAGTAACCATGACAACCCGTATCCCAGGGACCCAATGAGTGACAACTGTCATTAAAGTCTCTCTAGAGAGATGGCTCAGTGGTTAAAACACTTACTGTGTCAGCCTGAGGATCGGAGTTCAGATCCCCAGAGTCCATGTAAATGCTGGGTGGGCATGGTGGCCCACCTGCAATTCTAGCCTCAGAAGGCAGAGACACAGGATTCACTAAAGCAAGCTGGCTGTGGAGACACACCATATCAGTGAGCTCTGGTTTTAATTGAGAGGCCTTGCCTCAATGAATAAGGGGAAAGAGTAATGAGGGATGATTGGTGACATCATCCTACAGCGTCCACGTGCACACGTGCATGCACACCCACAGACATGCGAACAAACAAGCACACACATGTGCAGCACACAACACTCATGAAAACAGAAAGAGACCAACCTTCCTGATGGCTATTTTGGTCGTTGGGAATCTTTTCCCATATTCATCCATCTCCCTTAATGCAAGCTTAAGACTCGAATGTGGTCTCACTTAGAGAGTGAGAGTTTCTGGTGTCAGACCCTCAGTCATCATATCTGTCCTCAAGGATTCACTGACTTCTCCACCCAGCACCAGCTCAGCACAGCTTGCTTCTTGGTATAAAGTCAGACCATCACTGGGTGCAAACACCGGACACTAACCCAAGGACCCGTGTGTGTCAGCTCACCTTTCAAAAGAATCTTTTTTTTTAATGCAGATTTTTTTTTTTTTTTTTTTTTTGGCTTTTCGAGACAGGGTTTCTCTGTGTAGCTTTGGTGCCTGTCCTGGATCTCACTCTGTAGACCAGGCTGGCCTCGAACTCACAGAGATCTGCCTGGCTCTGCCTCCCAAGTGCTGGGATTAAAGGCATGCGCCACCATCGCCCGGCATAATGCAGATGTTTTTCATCTGGTTCTAGTCATAGAATCTAACAGGAGCACCTTGTCTTGAGGCTGCTGGACCAGCAATCCACTTAGCACCAACTGACTGGCTGTACCTTTGCTCGTAAAGGGTGAGGTCATGAATGAGACTAGGAGGCTGTCAATCAAAGGCAGAGGTGGAACACTGCAGACAGGTACGGGCCACACAGCTACTCTGGTGTTACCTCCTATTCCTAGACAGACTTACCCGCTCATCTCATGGTCTTTAGAAATGTGATGGGCTGGGCTGGGGTAATGACTCAGTTGGTAAATCACTTGCCAGGCAAGCATGAGGACCCAAGTTTGACTTCCCCATCCCAGAACTCACCATTTTATAAAGCTGGGAATGTTGGCACATGCTCGTAGGCACAATGGAGGCAGATGGAACTGTAAGCTTGATAGCCAGCGAGCCTAGTCTACTTGGCAAATTAGAGGCCAGTGAGAGATTCTGTGTCAAAAGAAAATGGGGGGGGGGCTGGAGAAATGGTTCAGCGGTTAAGAGCATTGACTATTCTTCCAGAGGTCCTGAGTTCAATTCCCAGCAACCACATGGTGGCTCACAACCATCCGTAATGAGATCTGGTGCCCTCTTCTGGCTTGCAAGCATGCATGTAGGCAGAACACTGTATACATAATAAATAAATCTTTAAAAAAAAAAAGAAAGAAAGAAAGAAAGAAAATGTGGAAGCTCCTGAAGAACAACACTCAATGTTTGTGCATGCACACACACACTGAGGATCAAAATGAATAGAATACTTCTCAAGTTAACATGGAGACCTTCACATCTTTATTAACACCAGTATTCACTACAGAAGAAGTAATAAGAGACTCTGTCCAGTGGGCTTGTATTCTATATTAAGTGTCAGACCTTGTCCAGTTATGGACCCAGCACAGAAATATAAGCCTTATTTCTGACAAGGAGTCCATCTCAAAGTGTCCTCTTTAAGGTCACAGCTAGAATGTAACAGAGCCAGGAATCAGTATCCAAAGAGGATGGTCTTAATTATCATGTGAATGCAAGCTTTACATATATTATCTTGGGTTAAAATAGAATTTGAGTAATGGAAAAGAAATTCAGATCCACTACACAGCATTCGGGAGATGAAGAAAAGCCAAAGAAATAAAAGAATCTGAAAAACCTCCCTCTCCTTGCACAAAGAGAAATGAATAATTTGCTTTATGAGGTGAGGATGTCCTCATCTTCAGCATTGTACATAATTTTGTGTGTTTGAATTCTCAGAGCTTATATTTATAAACAAGAGCCTCAGCTTAATTTAAAATTTTAAGGAGCCTATAAACATTGTTTTAACAAAAAAAAAAACAAAAAAAAAGCTTTTTGAGATAGAGTTGCATTCTCTGGTTCAGGCTAGACTGTTTGTTTGTTCGTTTTTGTTTGTTTGTTTGTTTTTGAGACAGGGTTTCTCTGTATAGTTTTGGTGCCTGTCCTGGATCTTGCTCTGTAGACCAGACTGGCCTCAAACTCAGAGAGATCCACCTGCCTCTGCCTCCCGAGTGCTGGGATTAAAGGCATGTGCCACCACCGCCTGGCCCAGGCTGGACTCTTAACTCAATATGTAGCCCAGGCTGACCTCAAACTTGAAGCAATCCTCCAGCCACAGCACCCCCCAATCCAGGAATTACAAATGCCCACCAACATACCATGCTTTCACAGTTTCAGAAGGTGCTCTGCAGGCTGCTGAGGAAGAGGAGTCATCAAAGGCCTTGGAATGCTACAATACTGACCTGTCCGGCAAGATGAGCCTGCTGGTGAACCAGTGGTAAGACTGTTGACAGGGTCACCAGTCGCTCTCCAGACTGGATTGAGGCCTGCTCCACTGGAGGTAATTCATGCCTGGTACCACCATCAAGATGGTCAAAAATCCGTGACTAGGGAAGTCATAGGTCCAAGGGAGGAGCTATGGATAATGATTTTTTTAAGTGTTCATATTGTCAAATTGCCTTCCAAATAGTTATGTTTGTACCCTTAGATTTGTGCTGCTCCCGGCCTCGCAGAGAGGTACTTATTGCCATGGGTAGTAGTTCATGCAGAAAGACAGGACTGAGAAGATGAGACTGAGTGCTCAGCCATAGATGTTTACAGGCTCGGGCAA